TGATCCTTGGGGTCCCTTCCAACCCAGGTGATTCTGTGATTCTGTGATTCTGTGAATCATAGAGTCATGGAATCGTGAAGGCTGGAAAAGACCTCTCAGATCCTCAAGCCTAAACCCAACCCACCCCACCGTGCCCATAACCACATCCCTCAGGGTCACATCTCCACGTTCCCTGAACAACTCCAGGGTTGGTGAGCCCACCACTCCCTGGACCGCTGTGCCAATGCATCACCTGCACCCACAGCCCTGGGACCCTGCTGTCCCACATCCACTGCGCTGCGCCACAATCCTCTCAAAACGCATCACTCTATGCAGAGGAGGCTTTTTGCATTGGTGAAATCATCCTTTTCTTTCTCTCTTGCTTTCTGCCTCTTCTCAGTTGATTGAAAAAGAAAATGGTTGAACCGCTCCTTTGACCCGGCAGAAGGAGGGGGGGAAAGGAGAAGGTTGTAAAAGAGATTTCCACGCCAAAACTCATGCAGATGTGTTTACGTAAATCCCTTTGAAACAGGCACTAAAAATACCTCTTTAAAATTAGGAGGTGGGGGAGGTTGTTAAGTGCTTTCCACAAACACAGACACAAAACCACTCCACGGCAGGTTCCTTCCCCACCTCATTCAGACCACTGTTATTAGTGCAGCAGGAGCCCTGCCGTTTGTTATTGGAAATTATAATAGCAAATCACTGCGATATTTTCCCTGATTGCACGGATCCTGAGCCAGTTCAATTTTAATCTTCTCTCCACTATTTCCTCGTGCATCAGCAGAGGCACCAGCTGCAGAAAAGCGCGTGGCTTCCTTGAAGCAGCTTAAGCACAGAAAAGAAACACAATTCCATAATAGGTGTTTTTCATCCAATTTTAGCTCAACCCCCTCCCACACCCCTGCATCCTGCTGCAAGACCAAACCAAGCAGCAGCTCTTTTTTGCTTCTTGGCCTCCAGAAATGTTTCACAACCTCTCTTATCTCACCCTGGGCCAAAAAAGCAGCCCTGGTTCTTCGTTTTTCCAGCAGCTGATTTGCTATGCATGGCTGTGTAAGAACAGAGGCGTCCCTGCTGATGGCAGGGTTGGTGCCAGGTGCTACAGGGACACTGCATGGTCACAGCCTGGGAATGGAGATGGGGTTAAGGATGGGATGGGGATGGTAAAGAGATGAGGATGGGATGGGGACAAGGATGAGAATCAGATTAGGACAAGGATGGGATGGGGATGGAGATGGGGATGGGGATAGTGAAGCAATGAGGATGGGGGCAGGGTTCAGGATGCGGAGGGGATTGAGGATGGGATGAGGATGAGGGTAGGGTTGGGAATGGGGATGATAATGGGCACAGAGATAGGAATGGCTCCATCTGCATCGCAAACTCCTGCTGGAGGCAGCTGCTGGCAGCACTGGGGCAGGTGTCTCCACCATAGCTTAGAGCTGCAATCCTAATTAGGACTGCCTTTGGGTGTCCTCCTCCCCAAGATGCCGCTCTCAGCAAGCAGCCCTGTGCCTTTCCTGTTTTCAAATCTCCCTCCCTGGCAAACACCCTGCAGGTTTCCAACCTGAAAAGTTGACAGCGATGTCAACCAGGTCCCATCCCTGCACCAGACAGGGCCGTGGGTCCTTGCTGCAGTTCCCTTGCCCGAAGTCCCGCTCTGTTGAGCAGGGCAAATGGCAGCAAGATAAATAGTTTATTTGCCAATAACATAGCTCATTAGCTTTTAATCGAATAGCGGATTGTGAGCACAGTTGTCGGCAGCAATGGGAGATGGCTTTGAGCATGGATCTTAGCAGGGCTCATCGGGCAGGAGGGGAGCACAGGGAGGTCAGGCAGATGCTCCACATGGCGCAGGAGTGTTCCCTTTGGTGCTCAGACAAAGCTTATTCCCCCTCTGTTTGCAATAAGGAATTCCGCAACAAATTTCTCTCACCAGAGAGACTCCCAGCCCAGGCAGGGAGATGGCAAGAGGCTCCCGAGGGGAAGCTCTGGCCCCGGGCTCCCGGCCCTGAGGCTGCAGACAGTCATTGCCCTGCTCAGCACATCCATCTTTAATTGGGTGTAATAATAATTTTATTGCTTGCTGGGATTTGTGAGGCTGAACTAATATTTGCAAAACGCTTTGCTATCCTCCGCTGAAAGGCAACCCGGGGTGGCAAAGCCCCTGTGCCATTCACGTCGGGATAATCCAGAATTATTCATAAACAAAATCAAGATTATGCAAATATATTCATTAGTTCTCAGCATACCTCCAGGAAAATAGAGGAATTAGTCTTGTTAACAATTGTATATTATGTAAGCGTGCGGCTAAGCACACAGACACGCTCACCATCCACCTGGGGCTCATCCCAGGCTCTTAGAGCACTGCAGAAAGAGGTGTGTTTGGGCTCAGGGTGGTCCCAGTGTGCCACTGCCCCCTCGCTGTCCTTTGGCACGGTGTGAGCGATGCCCAGCCTTGTGCCCAGGACACGATGGGATCAGCAGATAAAGGTGTGCTGAAGACACCGCGCGGTTTAATTAATGCCACATGCCTTTCACTCCTTAGGTTGTGTGGGTTGTTAATTATTTTTATAAAGAAAATAATTAGTCCCAATCAAGGCAGAAGCTCTCCAGAATTACAGCTCATTAACTGCTCTCACATTTTTTCTGTTCTATAAAAAGTCGCGTGGTGCTGATGAAAATTATAGACCCTTGGAATCAGCATTAAATACAAATTCAGACAGTGTTACCATCCCATTACCATCAACTGCATCGACTTGGCTTTGGTAATTGCAGCTGGAGTGCAGGGATTTCTGCTCTGTGCAATCTCTGCAAACAAGCGCTGTGCCCATCGGCCTGCCGGAACCAACGTGACACCGAGCAAACGCAGCCCTGAGGAGGGGACAGCCACCAAGGAGACTGGGAAGGCTTTTGTGGGTGGGTGATTGGATGCGCGGGTTTGGGGCAAAGGGGACAGGCAGCAGCCTGGAAGCTGTGGGTTTATGCTGTGGGACGTGGGACGCACGGGATCACAGAATCTTTAAGGTTCGAAAGACCACTGAGGTCATCTGGTCCAACCCTAATCCATGCTGTGTTTGCTCCGGACCACATCACTCAGTGCAACATCTGCACTTTCCTTGAACACCTCCAGGGACGGAGACCTGACCGCTCCCTGGCAGCCCATGCCACTGCATCACCACCAGATGCTCCAGGGGGGATGCAGGAGCGCTCCGAGCACCTCCAGCTGGGTCATCCCAGGGCCAGTTCTATTGAACGGTGCAGAGGCTTCATTCAAAGCCTGATTGAAAGAAATCAGAGCATGGTAAAGCGAGGTCAGGGCAAATCAATAGCAGAGCGGTGGGGAGGGTGAGCAGGGTGCTGGCTCGGCTGCTGCTGCACCATGATCAACAAGGTGAGCCCCATCCTTTGCTCCATGAGGAACATAGCTGAGAGCCAAAATGGGGAACTGGAGAAGGAATGGGAAGTGGGGATGGGGGCAGTGAGCAGAGCGACCCCGGAGGAGCAGCACTGAGCCCCATGGCCTTGGTCCTGCTGACCAGCCTGGAGCCAGGCCAGCTGCAGCCAGCTGCTCATTTCATTAATGGAGAGACATCAATTAAACATGGAGTGTTGAATGGGGTTGTCAGCAGATCAATTAGCCCCAACCTCAGCATGGGGACTCAGGGACTGTTTCAGCCCCAGGATGCCCTGCGCAAGCACTCCTGCCCCAAAAGAGGCCATTTTCAGCCAAACCCTGCCCCAAAAGAGGTCATTTTCAACCCAAATCTGCCCCAAAAGAGACCAATTTCAGACCAGTCCCACTGTCCCTAGAAAAGGACAAGAACAGTGCAGGAACTGCAGTGCATTCCCCAGCACCTTTCTCTCTTTTAATAGAGTTTGTTCCCACTTTCAGTTCTTCAAGCTCTCCTCGCAGTCCCTGCACTAGCAGGGAAGGCACTTGTGAAAAAAAAAAAAAGAAAAAAAAATTGCTATTTTTACACTCCCAGTGTTTGTCAGCACTTTCAGCTTACCCGTGGAGGGGAGGTGGTGGCACCAGGGCTGCATCGCGCCAGTGCACCATCACTTCTCCTGTGCCATCGGGCCCCATTCCTCTGCCTGCTGAGCACCAATGGGTTCCAAATTGGGGCATCCCTTCTGGGCACCCAGCTTCCCCTCAGTTGCTGTATGGTCACACAAAGTGCCCACCCCCAGTGCCAACCCCAGGCACAGGTGGGATTTAATGCCCCGCTCCAGGCTTTGCAATGACAGAGAGGTTTCAGTGGCCATGGGAAGAAAAGGTAAGGAAGAAATAAAAAGAGAACGAAGAACTGCAATCATGCATGAAATGATTTCATTTCACTGAGGAAGGGATTGCCTTTGGAAAGTTCATATTATGGAAAAACGCGCATGAAGGTCTGGCTGTAGGGAGAGAGGCAGGGAGGGGGAGAGGAGAGCCCCAGCCCTATGGATGGGTAAACCCTCCCAGGACTGATCTGCCCACATCTCATAGCCCCAAATATTTGTTAGTTAAACCTTGAAGGAGTGGTGCAGGGTTATGAGCCCTCTCCAGACGGTCCTATCATGCCAAGATGAGCTAAGTCATTTTTTTGGACACATCTCCCATTCATGAGTAGGAGTCAGGAATGGGTTGGGGGGGGGGATTAGCCTGATGTGGTTTCCTGCAGCCCCTCACCCCGATGGGGACCCAAAGCCCTGCAGCTCCTCACTTTATCCCAGGCTCATCATTCAGAGCTCCACAAGACCCTGTGCTGCCACACCGTGCCCTGGGATGCAGACGGCGCCCTTGGGGACCAATGAACTTTTACCATTGGGAATCGCCCCAGCACCAAGCCAGGAATGGGGCTGACAGAAGAGGACCATGAGGAGAAGGAAGGCTCTATGGGTCCTATAGGCATCCCCAGTTCTGCCCTCACCCCCAGCAGCCCTCGAGCTGCCTAATGAGCGCAGCCGCCGTGCAGCTGGAGCCGGCGGGCGGGGGCTGACAAAGCCGCCCTATTGACAGCGCCCCGAGCACGGGGGCTTTGCTGCTCCCCCCTCTGCTTTCCTCCTCCAGGCCCGCTCCCCCCGCTGGGCTGCAGCCATGGGCTCATTAGCGCTGCGGCTCGTTGGGCGCGGGAAGGAGCAGATGGCAGCCAGGCCCCGCTGAGCAGATGCCCGATGGACAAGGGGGGGATTAGCGGAGCCGGGGGCCCTCCGGCAGCACAGCCCGGTGCTGACATGTGGGGACTGAGCAGGATGGTGGGGATGAAGGAACCAGTGATGTGCCCGACGAGCTGCGGGTTGGGGTGGCAGAGAGCTGGGTCCCATCCCAACCCAAAATCACTGCCGATTGCAAATTGGGCAGTGAAACCACGTGTAGCACAACACATCCTGGGGGATTAGGGGTTAAAATAAATCCCTGCACTGGCCCGGGGTGACCCACTTCAGCCATCTGGCAGCAGGGAAGCGGCTGGTACGTGGGGTACCAGTGGATGCCAGTGGGCAGTGGCAGCCCTGTGCCTCTTGGAGTTCCCCATGGAAGGAGAAGCAGCATCCCACCGCTGCTCCGTGGGGCTGTGCGCAGGTAATGATGATAATGAACAACCACCCACTGCCTTAAAATAAAAGACTCAGCAAGAAGAAAGTGGAAATGGAAAAGGAGAGACTTCAGCTCTGTGCCACAGTGTTCAGTATCCCTTTTGCTCTACGGAGTCAAGGGCAGACCCCAGAGCGCAGCCCCTGGCTGGCCACGGGTGGGATTAATGTATTCTTTTGTTCCAGATGAAATGTGGTTTTAGCAGAGCTTTAACCCTGCAAACCTCCCAGAGCTCCTGTCAGGAATTAGGAGGGAAGAGGCATTATCTGCAGAGCCGGGGCACGCTGGAGAAGCACTCTGATCTGGGGCTGCGCATGGACCCAAAAGGCAAGAACCCTATGGGCCCCTCCAGGAGGAGGAAAATCCCTTTCTGCAATGGGAACCCCACGCTGCCTGCATCTGCCAAGCTGGGAGGAAACAGGGACACAGATGGTCACCGTGGTGTTGTGCTGGACTCCCTACTCCCTTCATCCCTCTGCCTGCTGGCACAGAGGGCTTTGCTCTTAGATCAGTTCTGCAGTGAAGCCTTTGGGATCGCAGCCCAGTTTGGAAGTGCTGTAAGAGCCACTGCTGCCCACGGTGCCCCAAGCTGAGCTTCCCCAATTTCCAAACCTGATTGATCACTAACGGAGAAGTGGAAGCATTCAGTGACCCCAGTGTGGGTCCACATGGGCTCTGGGATGTTTGGTGCAAGCTGATCCCCCAGCCCTCTCCTGCACTGATCCAACACCTTCACCAAACTCTGGTGACACTGAGCAACGGAAAGAAGCTTCACTTCCTTTGAAAAACAGTGCAAAGATGCTCTTAGTCAATATTGTGACAGCCAACAGAATAAAAATGCTCTAGATTTGAGGATGTGTTGTTGTGAGGAAGTCACACAAATCCCTGCGCATCCCAGCAGAGCTCAGTAGGAACCAGCAACCCCTCGGTCCCTTTTTGTGTGGTCCGACCCTGCTGCCCTGGGCTCGGACTCCAAGGGAAGGAGGGGGACAGACAACCAGAGGGACGTGTGCTGGGGGCCGTATGGCTGAGCCCCCACCCCAAAACTACAATTCAGCCCCTCACACTACTCCAGGCTCCAAAGAGCCAAAGTTTCCCACTTGGGGAGGAGGGAATAGAAAGCTCAGATCCCCCAGCCGCAGGCAGCCCCCGTGACCCCAGCCCTTCAGTAAGACATCTGCAGAAGGGAGCAGCCCCCCAAGCCGAGGGTTCCCCACCCCTTACCTGGGCAGCGGTTTGCGGGCGGTGATGCTGGCCACGATGATGCTCTCCGGTCGCGGTGTGGCCACGGCTTTGAAGGTCCCTCGCCAGAACTTCTCGAAGAGCTGCTTCTCGCCCTGCTGCACGCTGGCCATGGCCCCGGCGCGGCTCGGCGCGGCCGCTCTCCGCGGTGCTGATCTCTACATCCCTCCTGACCGCGCACGGCTCGATTCGGTGCCGGCTTGGGTTCAGTCCGAGGTTTAATGGGGGATATTCCGGTTCGGTAAGGCTGGAGGGGAGAGTGTGAAGCCGAGCCGGCTCCCGGCTCCCGTTTTGTGGCAGCGAGGCGGGGAATGGGGCCGGGCCCGCTCTTGTCCCCTCCCCGGTGCCGCCTCCCCCCGCTGCTCTGCTGGGAGCATCCCTGGACCGAGAGCATCCTTGGCTGGAAGCACCAGGATGGTCCTCGTGGGGCCCATTTCGGCCGCGCAGGAAGCATCCCGGAGCTCACGGCCCTTGGAGGGAATTTGTCTCTTGCAGCACAAGGGACAGTGACCTTGGACGGATGCGCTGCTCCCTGTCGTGTCTCGGAGAGCCACGTGCTGATTTATGTAAGCAACCGGGGGATAATGGAGCCAGGAACAATAGCCAGGAACAATAGAGAAAGAAGAAAAATCACAAAGGACTTGAGAGCATCTTGTGGTAAACACACGAGCAGCAGGGCCAGCTCCATCCCATCGCTGCAGCTTGGTGCCCAAATGCCCAATCGGGCACTGGTGCCTGCCCTGAGGTTTGCAGGATGCAGCTGCAGCCGAGGACCCCGTGCACAATGCAACATTTCCACCATTCCCCTCTTTAACCCCCCAGCCCACAGCCATCCCCACCAGTCCAGCCCTGTCCCTAGGGCTAGAGACTGGAGTTGCTCAAAACACCCCCAGATTCGCTGCCAAACACTGGGGATAATAAATATTTGCACTATTAAATTAGCAGCACGGGTGGTGTGTGTGCAGGAGGAAGGCAGTGATTGTTACAAGCAGAAACCTCTTCTGGCGTACCTCATGGAGACATCAGCGAGCTAATTAAGCAATTGGCTCTGTTAACGGAGGCTCCTAGGAATACATTTCCCCACTATAGAATAACTGCACTCTAATAAATTGCCTCATAAATAAACAGCCCAAAAAAAGCAACATAAGATACCCAGAAAAAGCTCTGTGCGATAAGCAGAGGCGATGCTGGGTGCTACCGGCACTACCAGCACAGTCCCAGCACCACACCCTGCAGGGAGCAGCCCCGGGGGGATGCACCGTCCCCTTCTTCTCCCCCCACCCTAAGGGCCCAGCCCCCCCTTACCCACCCCAGTCCCAGATTTTGATTTGGGAGATGACAGCCAAAAGCTGCCCGGGGCATTCGGCTGCTGCCATGGATGAGCACAGGGAGATCAGCAGGACGGATCTGCGCCTGCTGAGAGGTACCCAAGGGGAAGAAAGCAGAAAATGTGTTTACCCAGGATTACATTTTAATCTCTTCTCCCTTCCAGAGTGAATAAAGCTGGGTTTGTCCTGGAGCTGGACAAATATTTTTTCTATAGATGTCGTATTTTTCCTTGGTTTTGGATTGCTTGCTTTGTGCTTTACACATTGCAGAACCCGGTGGATGCTGATTGCCCACTGCAGCTGCTGTTCCATGCCCACTGGTTCTTGTAGTCCCCAAATACCCAACAAAGCAGAACAGAGCCTGTCCCTGTGGCCCCATGGCCAGGACAGTGGCATTGTACCATCCTGTGACTTTGAGAGCATCTCCATCCATACCTCTGTTCCCACTTTGCTCCCCATGGGTGAAGGCTCTTCAGCAGCCCGGTTCTGCACAAAACCTCCCTGTATCCACCTCCACCCATCTCCCAGCCAAGCAGGTTTCCTGCAAATGCAGAAAATCAGTAATTACCTCTGGAAGTATTCATTACAACTCAAGAGTCAATAAACAAAGGCTGTGAGTACCCTCTATTCATTACATTCAGCAGCACCTACCAATTATTCCCTCTGCTAAGCCAGCCCCAGCCAGCAGTGGGGGGATTCTGTTTGTACACTGAGGATGCAGCATGTCTTGGGTCCATCCCTCCCATGCCAGCATTCATCTCTCCCTTTAGAAATATCAATTTCATGGAAAGTTGATGTAAAGCTTCCCATTGAGAAGCTCCCAAGAACAGTCCCCCACCATTGGGTCCGTTCACTGTCCTCCCACAGCTGAGAACATCCAAGGATGAGGCTTTGGAGGTAACTTTGGAGGGGGGAGAGAAAAGGGTAAGGAGAAAAAGCCCTTTTTTTTCCTTTGAAATAGAAGTAGGGAGACGCACTGCCCTACAGATGTGGGAAGGTGGACATTTTGGAAGCTGGTGGCATCACCATTGCCACCAAGTTGGCACCACCTGCATGGTAATTTTCTCATCCCATCCCAAACCATCCTATGCCACCCTGTCCATCCCTTCCATGGGGCTGCCCCATCCCAACTCAACCCATCCCTCCCTTCGTCAGCTGGAGCAGACTTTTTCCAAGTGTCCATTCCGTACAGTTTCATGGCCTTGTGCGCCGTGCAGGGGCACAGGCACCCCTCTCACCAATGCAGCAATTAGGCATGTTCACATTAACCAGATAATTAAGCAGAAAGGCACTAATTGAATAAACAGGAGAACTGAATGCCAATGACATGGGGAGAAAGGAGGCTGGGGACGGGTGGCTGAGGGACAGCCACTGCCGTGCAGGCTTTCAGAGCTGCGGAGAAGCAGCAGAGGATTTGGGGAGCAGACACTTCCTGCTGAGAGGCATTAATGGAACGCGGAAATGTTTTACTGCGCTGTGATTTCAGATGTTTTTGAATGCAGCTGCAGCTCCGTTCCATTCCGGGCTAATTTAAGCTCCAGTTAAACCAGACTAAATTACAGCCCCGGGAACCGATGTGACAGGGAATGCATCCAGGAGCCCCAAATCCTGCTGACCTTGCTTCTCCTTCCAACTGGACTGGACTTAGAGCCTCTGGCAAAACAGCACTGCATGTCACCAAGGGACTGCAAGCAACCCTCGGTGCCCTCGGGTTCCCAGCTGAGCAGGGCAGGACCCCGTTGTGCTGGGACCAGCAGGATTAGTCCTGGGGACAGGGGACAAGCAAGCTCCAAGGGAAGGGATGTGCCATCCCAGCTGTGGAACCCACAGCCCCTTCCTTTGCTCCAGAAGAGCAAGTGGTTGTCTGAGACCAAAGCAACAAAGGTCAGGGGAGCAGAGGCTGTTTGCCCTCAGATTATTATTATTATTTTTTAATAGAATAAAGAGGAGATTATTAGATAGAATTAATTGTTCACACTGTACAGGAGATGAAAGTGTGGGGAGTAAGCAGATGCCGGTCACGATTCGGCGCTCATTAAGGCAAGAGCAAGATTCATCTCGTACACATGATTAACTCCTGGCCGCTGATGATTTACATGGCAGATGATCAAAAGAGAATTAATTAGCCCACAAACGGGGCTGCCTCCAGTCTGGCCCCAGCAGTTCTACCAACGGCAGAGCCGAGGTCCCCAAAACCGAGTCCACAGCCACCACGCTGCTCAGACACTGCAGCCATTCCCTGCGAGCAGAGCAGGAGATCCAGGCACGTCCCTCCACCACTGGGGATGCTCTACCCACTGGGTTCTCCCATGCAAGAGAAGTGCATGCCCAAAGCCCACAGAGCCCAGCACAAGCCAGGGCATCTGCTGGCCCCACAGCTTAGCATCTGCTGCTCAGATAAAGAACCTGTGCTGACTGTCACCTTTATTTTGAAGAAATGAACTCCTGCAGGAGTCACCTTCAGCACTCGGCCCTTCCCGAGGTGGTGGGAGACGAGCTGATTGCATGCAACTGATTAGCAATTAGCCTGGCATGCTCCAGCTGTAAATACGGACACCAGGGCTGGGGAGGAGGAACCCGGGGGGGGGTCCTGTGTGCTGATATTGATAATGAGAGGGGCACACAGCCCCTGCACGGAGGAGCAGACTCCAAAATAACATTTCTCAAGGATTTTGGCAGTCTGCAGCAATCGAATCCCAGAGAGAACTGCATCCTGCTGTCTGCCCAACTGCATAAGAATTGTGTCTTTAATATGGGGCTGGGATATGGCCTGTAAATAACATACCATAACGTAATGTACAGACTGGTATAGGCTGTTAATGGCTGGGGGATGCTGGGGGACAGCTCCTCTTCCAACTCCAAGGGGTTCAGAGTCCCTAGGGGGCACAGGGCTGGGATGGTGACAGGGTTCCAGCCCCAAGGGACTGAACTGAGCCCAACTCACCCAGTGCCACTGCCCCCAGGACCATGAGGTTGGCACGCGCCTGTTGCAAGTTTCCATCTCTCTGCCCATGGCTTTTAGAGGCACTCAGCTGCAGATTGCCTCTGTGACCCAAGTCCCCATTCCCATGGGCTTTAAGAGCCTCAGCGTAAAACAAATTAATAACAAAGTGAATTGTACTTGAAGGCAGCTACTGGAGTGAGGAAGGCAATGCCTGGAGCTCAGGGGCTGTGGCAGTGCAGGCGAGCGAGACGTGCTCCATGGTCCTGCAGTGCTGGCAGTGATGGATGAGTCCACTTCCAGAGCAGACTGAACCAGGGTGGCTTAAAACCAAAGTGTGCTGAGGGCCAGCGTGCTGCCTGCCCAAAACCCTGCATGCAGAAATCTGATGGCACCATGGCAGAGGCCAGATGGAGTCTGGGTTCTGCCAGCCCTGCCTCAGTGAGCTGGGAGGGATGGGTTTGCCCCTTGCTGTCCCATGAACATCCCCCAGTGGATGTTCAGCCCTCATGCTGCTCCTGGTCCATGGTGTTTGATTCAAGATGAGCAGAACTTGGAGAACCTCAAGCCAAAATCTCTACAACTTCATCTGAAGGCTACGGGGGGTTCATATTCATCCTCAGCCTTTCCCCCAGCCAGCAATGCAGAGATCCCAGCTCTCTGCAGAGCGGAGGTCTCAGCTGCCCAGGGAGGGCAACTCAGTGCACAACTGGGATCCCACCTCCACATCCCCCCCCTTGTCCAACAAGGCCAGAAATCACTCACTCAGTCTTCAAGTAGTGGTTCAAAGCTTTTGCAACCCTCTCAAGATTAAATAGCAGCAGAAAAATAATCCAGGATAAGTCTTGTCAAGGCATAAGAAGCATGACATGGCCGAGGAGCCAACACAGCAAAAGGGTCCATGTTCCAGGTTAAATCCAACCCTTCCTGGGCAGCCTCCTGCCCTACCAAACAGGAGTTAATTCCCACCAGAGAGACACGGCAAGCAACCCAACCTCAGGCTGAGCAGAACTCCGGAGGCTCCCTGCTCATGTTTGCCCCATTCCTGCAGACCCCTGCCTCTCACAGGTGCACACAGGGCCTAGAAGACCTCCAACATGCCCCAAGACATTGAGTTCACACTCTGGACTCTCCTCGTGGCAATGACATCTCTGCTCCAGTGGCTGTGGCTGTCCCTCTGCCATTGCTGCAGGACACACAGAGCTCCCCATGGCCCACAGCTCCCTCTGCATGAAGGCATCACCACTTTATCTCCAAAACCCCTCCTCCCAGACACCTCCTCAAAGTGTTTGCAAGTAACAAATAAATAATCAGCGACAGCAAGCTGGCTGCACTAGAACATTTATATCATATAATGCACCATTTATTTTCAATTATCGTGGTGCTTTCCCCTCTCCCTCCCCGTGCACTTGGCAGGTCGCTGGTGGAAAGTTTGCAGAGTTGCAAAACGCCCTCATATGAGATGTACCAGGGAACAGGGAGGGATGGCAGCAGGGTGGGAAGGACAGACAGCCACCTTGGGGTCATGAGAGTTTTTGGGTTGGGCTGTGATTTCCAAGCTGGCGACAAAACCACCAATCCCCACAGCCAAGGGACCTCCACACTTCCCATGCCCTTGGGTGGGGATGGGCTGCTGCACCGCCTTACACCTGCGCTCCCACCAGCTCTGTTATTCCCACCTCTGTCTCAGTCAAAGCCATTTAAAGCTCTCTGACATATCATGAAGAACTTTCCAGTGCGGTTCAGGGACTAAGATTTGTATTGAGAAGCCCAAATTTATTGGATTAATGCTGTGGACCAAAAGCTTGGCCGCTTAACAATTGGAGGATCTGTATTTTACAGCAACGTAACTAATAAGGCCATTAATACAAACCGGGCTCACTCCTGACATTTATATAGCCATAAATCTCTCTCAGCACTGGAATTATTTATGCCATCCCAGGCACTTGAGCAGTGCTGTCATCCTTTATCAGGCTGAAAGATTTAAGCCAAGAGACAATGATGCTAACTGTAATGAAAGGGAGCACGAGCAAAGTGAGGATGGCGCTGGCACAGCAGGAGCAAGGCCATGACCTGACCAGAGCATGCCAGGAGCAAATGCAATCCCTGCTCTTGGGCTTTGGGGGGCAGCTCTCCATTTCCAGCAGCAATAAGGTCAGGGCACCTGCAGCCCAGGTGCTTAAGGTCAAGCTCTTTAGGATGCGTCTGTGCCTCAGGTCTGTCTTGAGCAAAGAAAACTTGGAGAGAGAAGCAAATAAATCTGTGCAGAGCAAGGAGGCCCAAAAAGCAGCCCCAAGCAGCACAGGAAACTGTAAACAGGGAGAGGAGAGGGTGTGGGTGGTGGGAGCAGAGAGCAGCCTGCCAGCCCTCTGTGTGCACTAATTATTTCTGGCATTATCTGCTCCAACAGATAAGGTTTTCATTAATAAACTCGAAGAGGAGCAGGGGCTGTGGGGGGAAGGGAGAAGCAGCAGCAGCTGAGAGCTGCAAATTGGCCACAACCAGCAGCAAAATGCAATCAGGTGCAGGGAGCAACGGGGGGCCCGACAGCAGTGGTGACAGCAGAGGGGACATGAGGGACAGTAATTAGCAGCAGTCCTTTCCCTGCTCACCACTGCTTTGCAGGCTGACTCCTAATTCACTGCACGTTGGAAAAGAAATAGTCAGTAATTTTTCAAAGCAGGGCCTTATTAAGCCCACTATCTGCAGTTATTTAATTGGACAAGATTAAGCCAGGGCAGCCTGGGATGCAGGGAGGGTGCATCACTGCACTGCCACTGTGCTCCTGCAACGAGCATGCAGGCAGATGTGCATGCACGGGGTGATGGGCTGCAGGGATGCTCAAGCCATGGACATTAAATTATCTCGTGCAGGTTGTGATAACGCAAAAGGGAGAAAAGGAAACTCTAGATCCTGCTCACAGCATTGGGGCTGGGAGTCAAGGGACAGGATGATGCAGGATGGGGCCAGTGTTGTGCATTCGGACAGACTTACAGGAGGCAGGAGGGATGGGGTCACAGATGCACAGCAATTAGCAGGAGCAGGCTGGTCCCCTCCCAGCCTCGGTTTCCATGGCAACGGGGTGGTTCAGCACATTTCTCCACGCACAATCTCACCGCAAAGGTCATGGCAGCATGGCAGAGGAAGATGCCTGGCCCTGCTGAAACAAATCATTAAAACATGGACAAAAGAGTGCAACCTTCCCAAAACGCTCAATTCTGAAGATGCCTCCACCACCTCAGGGTGCACACACCAGGGTCAGCAGCAGCCCCTTGCTCTATTTCCATTGCTCACAGCCAGCATATGAGTGGCATTTCCACCAGGCTCACCACTCCCCTGGTCCCGGGTTGCTGCTCTCTGATTGCTGCTAAGAGGATACAGCATCCCAAACACAAAGATGTGCAGCTCTCCTGCAAGCTCTTTGCCCTCCAAGGTGCAGAGCCACAGGGTCTCTGGCAAACTGCATCTGCAAAGAGAATGGAGAGAGACTGGGAAGGTGAGGAGTGGACTGCTGGCTGCTTTGATGCTCTCCTTAAGCCATGGGTTTTGCAAAAGAAAAGTGAGAGCTGCACACAGGTGAAAGGACAGTATTTCCTGAGGCAGAGTGAGTTGCCAACCTGGTAAATACTTCATTAGGGGTCAAACTGCTAGCACAGGGAGTTCTACCTGCAGAGATTTATCGTCTGTTTGAAACAGCAGCAGCTTATCAGAAAGGATTTCCTTCTGCCTGAAACCAGGAGTGAGTCTGCATCCGTGCTCAGCTGTTTAAAACCAGCACAACCTGATGGATGCCCTGGTGCTGCCCCAAGCAGAGACAGCTCAGGAACCGGGGCGGCTTGGGCCCCTCGCTCTGCTTTTGCTCAGAGGGCAGAAGATGCAGGGACCACAGGTGTTCTCCCAGCCTTACAGGAGTCTTCAGATGCCCATCAGCATGGAGAACCAGAAGAGAGGGGATGCCAGCCAGAGACCTGCATCTCATAGGGAAAAAGGCTGAGACCGAGCTTCACCTCTATGAAAGGTAAGATGAAAACTCCTTGTATAACTAAAGCTTTCCTGAGCAAAGTTAGAAAAGACAAATCTATTCACAGGCAGAAATCTCCTCAGATGAGTTCAGAGCAGCAGCAGAACAGAAGCTTCGGGCAGTTCAAAGAGACATTCTCCTGGGATGGAAGCTCAGGATGGAGAAGTATCAACAACCTCACAGAAGCATCTCCTTTCTCACACCTCATGTCACTTACTGAGGAGCTGAGCAATAACAACTCCCTTTTCCAAATGCTGGTAATGGCAGTGACCTATCCTGCTTGGTTGTAATTAGCTCCAAAATCACTACAAACCCGCGCAGCTGAAGAACACTTCAGTCCTCCAAAATGAAGCTGAGCTGCAAGAAAGCAAATAGAATCCATCCTGGCTAATTATTTGTTATTAATTGTTTAAAAAAAAAAAAAGATGGATTGATGAAAGGACTTGGTAAGCAGAACAACAGCGCGAGTGTACTTGAAGGCAAGCGCTGTAACAGGATCCGAGAGCAAGGCTTGTCATAATCCACGGGCTGTTAATTATCTAAACACTGGTCCCTCGGAGCTGCATGAGTGAGGATTAATTAGTTTTTGAAATAATAGCTAAATTGATACCGGGAAGGAGCTTGGGTTCCAAAATAATGGCTGAAAATTAGCCAGCTTGTTTCTGCGCTTCTTTCTGCCATGCTCAGAAGGACATTTGTCTCTGTTGTTTTGCCAGAAAAGGGCCATTAATCACAGCGGCAGATGGCCCTTCCCAGACCTGTCGCGCTGCAGAGAGACAAAAGGAAGGCGGAGGAGAAGGAGGAAGCAATCACCTACAAGTGTTGGGAGAAAGGAATCCTCAGAACCAGCCAAGAGCAACTACTGAGAGCATCCTGCAGGAGAGCTGGATCTGCCCAGAGTAACTCGCGGAGATGGAGGACGTCTCTTGCAACAGGCAGGTGCCTACAGGAAAGGGTCTGAACATCTCCAAAACAAATTTCCAGCATCCCCAGCCCACCCCACCATGCCCATATCCCTCAGTGCCAAATCCCTACGGCTCTGCAGCCCCTGCAGGGACAGTGAGCCCAGCACTCCCTGGGCAGCTGTGCCACTGCATCACTGCTTTTTTGGAGAAGAAACTTCTCCTTGTGTGCTTTGCTCATCTTCCTGCCAATGGGAGGCACAGAGCCTTTCCCTCCCCTCTGTCCCACGCTGCTTCATGCACATTTTCGGGGCACCCTGGGACATCAGCTCAGTGTGGCAGCAGGGAGGAAGCAGCCAGGTGAACGCTGCAGCATTAATCACAGCAGCCTCCCCACACGGAGCCCGCTGTCTTGAAAGAGTGTCTGCTCCATAAAGTATGCACAGCTGACACGTGTGAAACCCTCCACAGCGTTTACTGATATGGGTTACCTTGGCTTTTACAGCATAATAAATAACGGGGGAGAGACAGACAGACACCCATCCCCTAATCAGCAACGGCAGCAAGGAGGGGATAAATGTTTGGCTGGGGGAAAAGCTCCCTTCTCCGAACCTTCCAGAGCCACGGGGAACCCACAGACCCCCCATGAGCATGTGTCCTGTTCAACAGTGACCCAAAGGAGGGCAGCTGACACTCAGGTCTGCTCTCACTCTGCACCGCTTCTCTGTACGATCAAACCTCAGTGGTTTGGTATGCTACACAGGAGGCTTAAGCAGAGCTCAGAGGAAAGATCCTATTAGATAAGAGCAAACGCAGCAGGCCTGTAGCTGAGGGAAGCCGCTCCATCTCCGGGAGGCTTGGTTTATCAGCACAGGGCTCAGGCACACTGAGAACCCACCGCAGCGTCAGGCAGCGAGCAGCAAACATCTCATTAGTTACAGCAGGGCTCCCGCTGCTCTGCCAGCCAGCACCGGGCCTGCTTGGAATGGGGAGCAGAGTTCCCTCCTGGAAGCAAATCAAAGGCAGCACAGAGGGGGGTAGCACACCTTGATGCTGCCGCTGCAGCGCCGTCCCCCTGCTCCTGGTCTCACTCCACTGCAATGCCTTAGCTAGATAAATCACTCACACCACGGGCAACAGAAGCCAAGTAGATGTCGTCTCCTTGGCCATTACTCTGATTTTTCATCCTTCACTTGCTGTGAAAAAAGAAATGAGAGTGAGAGCGGCAGCCCCCAGCCTGGGCCGCAGTGCACAGCCAGCTGCACAGCATCCATCCTCAGCAGCACCGCTTTGCCCTTCATCGTCCAGCAAGCACTGATTTATCTCCAGGTGCTGAGCAGCAGTGTGGCCTGTGAGCATCACTTCAGCAACCCGGAGCCTGGTGGTGCTCCCTTCTCCTGCAGAGGGACCCGAAGCAATTCCTGCTTTTGGGTGTCCCAACCAGAAACAGCAGTGAAGGCAGCAGCAGTGTTCTCAGCATAGGCTCTTCTCTTTGAGCCCTCAGATTTTTTCCAGTCCAACCCCAGGTTTTCTGGGCTTCCCAGCCCAGTGAGTGCTGTAGGGAGAGCACTTCCCTGATTCCTTTTAAGCTTTTTTCCTAGCTCCAGGGAGGAAGGTGATTTTTCATTCCTTTTTAAAAGGTGCTTAAATGCTGCGTTTGTAAAAACACTTCATTCTGGGAAACAAATTATGTAAAATACACTCAGTGGGATCTAATACAAACTGATACCATCAGCTAGCAACAGGGGCTCTGCTGCCAGAACTTGCTTTCCAGGGGCAATACTGAGCTGCCTGGACAACCTGCTGACCTGCTCCAGCCCAGGGTCTCACAGTCTCCTGGCAACCCTGAAGCATGTATGGAAGGAGCCAGCTACCTGCAGGCATCTATCTGCCAGGCCATATCCCTGCTGGGTGCCCCTTGGCCAGCAGGGCAGCGAGGGACAGACCAGTCTGAACTCAGCAGGGCTGCTGCACAGGTCTGTCAGTGTAGCATGTCTGGATCTCTTGACACCGCTCATTTGTACCATTCATGCTTGTGTCTTCTGAGCTCTTTTGTGGCTATTCACCATGCTGAGGCACTCCCAGGCACACAGAAGAGCAGCTGGATGGGGTTTCTTTACCCATCAGTGGGTTTCAAGGCAGCTCCAGGGGATGCATGAGCTGCCATAGGCCAGCATGCACCCAGCAAGAGACAAAGCTGACTGGACACAGCTTCCTATGCCCCGCATCACTAACGATAGGAAACGATGCTGCTTCCCCGAGGACAGGCCACTTGTCACGGCAGGTGGCTGCAGCAGAGAGGAACTGAGCTCTTACTTTTTCTGGACAGGCTCAAGGATGCTCCAGGGGAAAGCACTGCAGGCAGGCAGCGTGCTGGATTGAGAGGGAAACCAGTCTGGAGCCCGTCTTGGGTACATCACTGATGAAAAAGGAAGAAAAGAGAAATCAAGATTTCCTGCCCCCAATTTGCTGACTCAGTAATGACTCAAGGGACTAAATTTAGCTACTGAAGTGCTCAGCAGCAGGGCGAGCGGCTGTTGGCCTCTCCTTAACCTTATTACAAGACCTTTCAAGCAAATCTTTTCCCAGCTCAGAAGGGATTCTGCTCACGCTCCAAGGGGACTGCATGCCACCTTTGAAAGCTGGAAGAAAGCAGATGTACGTACATAGGTACACACAAGGCTTCCCAGTGCCAACGCAAGACCTGGGAGTGGAGAGAAGAACTTGTGAGCATCACGCTTGTTGAGTCACCATAGCAACAGGGGGTTTTTAAAAGCAATTAGGTGTGGGTTCATCTGTGCTGCTCAGAAGGATCGCAGAGCGCTGCCTCTCCTCCCTCAGCTCCTGCACAGGGGGCTCCTATAGCAGAGACAGGCACGATGGCTCCGGCTGCACAGCCATGGGCAGACCTGGAGCAGCTCTGCGAGTCAGCCAGTTGCTGGCACACAGCTCAGCATGGTCCAAGGAAAGCTGTGACCCAGGCCTGTTTCTCTAGCCAGGACACAATGAGGTGGAGTCAAATGCTTCCCAACCGTACAAAAGCATAAATTCCTAACAGCAATGATAACATCTCCCGCATCGCAGCTTGAGCCGTCCGCAAGCTAAGCTGATTCCATGCTTTCATAAGACCCGTTTCCACGAGGTCAATCATTACATAACCCCACAACGAACCTCCATCGACCACCTTCCAGGAGCACAGAGCTGGTGGGCAGCTGAGCCGTGCTGCCCGCAGCTCAGGACCTGAGCACAGGCAATGGGGCGACCCAGAGCTCCTGCACTGCTCACCCTGAGCCGCCCAGCACTGCAGGAATAGAAACAGATCCGTGCACATCACACGGGAATGGCATCAGCCCCATCCAGACTACAAAAACATGCACTCTGCTCTCCCAATTCCTGTAGCTAAGAGCTTTTTGACTCTCTTTTTTTTCCACCCCTCTCAATATGCTAGAATTCAGGTCCTCCTCCTCACTGCTAGAAATTCCCATGTAGTTTCTCATCACATCTTTTTACCTCCCTTCAAAATTCCTGTATTTTCAAGGATCTGTATTGGACGAACTGCTGTTGAGCTGTTGATTTCCAGCTCCCCACACCCCCTTCCATTTTCTTCTTATTTTTCTGCACTGCCTGCTCACAGAGGCCGTTCTGCCACCAACAGCTTTTTGGCCATTCAATAGAACAATTCTCACCTTTATATCTGAGTGTTGCTCAGAGCTGACCCAGCCCACCTAATGCCCTATGACTCACCCAGGCTGGGAACGTTTCTCTTTGCATCAAGGAACTTTCAGGAGACCTGAGAGCTGCAGAAGCTTGGGTGTTTGGTGCCCATGCCTAACTTAAGCATCAGCCTCTCCTCTTTAAGAACCAGAGATAGAATTTAGCATTTACCCAAAGTGCACAGATTGGGGTTGCGTGCGTTTGAAGCTGGAGCAGATTTCACTTTGCTCTGGCAACCAGGCACTTTCCACACTCATTCTCCACGGGAGAGATGGTGTAATGCTCATGTGACAGCGGGAGAGCAGCAAGATGCAGCTGGGAAGGCTGGGACGAGGCACGGCCTCACTGGCCCTGCATGCAGCAATATCAGGTTCATCTCAGGGACTGCTGAACTGCCAAGCCAGAGAGCAAACAGGTGCCCCTGGGGAGCTGGGTGGGAACCAATGCGTGGGGTTCCCACCTTACCAGCAGTGTGAGTCAGCTGTGACGCAGCCTTCCCAGCCACCCCACTGCACCACACAGCGCTGCAAGCAGAAAGAAGGGAACCTTGTGCAGAAAAAGCAGGGTGGGAGCCTCACTCACTGCTTTCTGTCCGACAGCAGGGTTGCAGAGGCTGAGCTTCTGCAGTTCCCTCCCAGGCTGGCTCGCTTTTAGGGTGAGAGTGGTGAGTAACAGATATCTGCAGAGGGGAGATAAGGTAATGGGGCACCTCGAATGCCTGGGATCGCATTAAAGCAAGGCTGGCTGTTGAGATCCTATCGCTGCACAGAAATATCTGCAACTTTATCCTCAGCTGGAACATGAACCAAAACAAATCAGGTGACCAGCACAGTGGGTTAGGGCTCGCTGGCACGGTGGCATGGTGGGCAGGGAGGAGAGGCACAGCTCTGGCAGAGCCAGTACAGCTGAGACAGCAACATGGGAGGATGCTGCCGCAGCAACAGGGAGTGAGGGTGTCAATGTAGGAAGGAGAGACACCTTGTGAAGGGCAGGAGAAGGGCCTGAATCCAGGCTCACATATCCCAAGGACACTGGGAAGGGTGCATAGCACAGAGAGCACCTGATAAATCAGCTAGCTTTCACCTGGCTCATGGGAGCGCCTCCAGGAGAGACTCCTGTGTGACACTGTGACCCCAAGGCAGTGCTGACAGATAACCCTGCAGCAGCAATCTGATTGCTAACACAGGGAGCAGAGTCCATCCCCCTAACATTTCTCACCCTGGGCTGATCCCTGAGGAGGGGCACAGCTGCTCAGCTCCCACCTCCCTGCTCCGGCTGTGGCAGAGGGAACCAAACAGCAGGCATGAGCTGGCTGCCAGCCTGCTCTGTGGGAGCAGATGAAAGGCTTCTTTTCTCCTCCACCTGCAGCACACAGCCAGCCTGGCTCATGTGCATCTGCAGGAGCCAAGGATGCTGGGAGCAGGCTCACTCAGTACATCTGGGCCATGGCTGATAGTGGGACCTCTGACCGCTCTCCAGTGTTTGCAGGTAATTGCGTGCAGCTCCCCTCCTTGCCCTCCTGCAGAACTGCTCACCCGAGCTGGGAGGCAAACACAAAAAGCTTGCTGCTGCTCTCAGGAAGTGTGAATCTTACCTCTGCTGGCAGTCATGGCTTCAAAAAACAGTGAATGTCCTTCAAGGAGGAGGGATCGCATGCCGTGCCCAGTAAACCAGTCACAGCAGCTGCATGGAGCCAGGGCTCATCCCTGCCAACACTAGGAACAACGTGCATGCAAACAAAGCTCAGGTTTCCAGTTCCTTTTGTGCTGCCCAAGGCACATGCCCTGACTTATTTCCAAAGCCATCATGTGAAACTTGTTCCTCTTGGGAGAGCACGAGGTAAGCAGGAGCACTGGGAGCAAAGCCTGCCAACAAACACCATCCAGGGCAGCAGTGGCTGAGGGGAGAGATCCAGGTATACAAGCTTCTTTCTGCAAGAGCAGAGATTGTTTTGTCTCCTGCAGCTCTGCTCCAAAAGGAAGCTCTTCAGGAGCATTTGGGAAGGAGGTTTTGCAGGCTAAAAAAGCACAACAGACCAATTACTGGAGCAGGGAGCAGTCAGCAGTGTCAGCACAAGGACCATCCCAACCACAGCAGGGAGCTCAGAATTGCACATCACTTCAGGAACGGGGACTGACAGCTGCTAAGAGTTCATTGAGAGCAGCAATATTTGAAGAAATGAGCAAGTGTGGGGAGACAAGGCATCAGCATAGCAAAGTAACGGCTGAAAGAAAGCTTGCCATCTCCTCTCCACCCTCTAAACACCACACTTGGCTGCTCACAGTGCTGGAGGGATCGCAGCCCAGCCCTAGCAGGGCAAGCAAGCCTCCAACACAGTGCAAATACAGATGGTGGAAAACATAATGCATCAAAGCAGCCAGCAAAACATGCTATCATCTAACACTTAGCAGTGATTGCTGTCTCTGGTTCCCTGCTGAGGATGATGGCCCACACACTGCCAGGGCAGCTCCTAGACATCAAATGCACGTTGGTCAACACACCTTGGGGAGAAGTCTAAGATAGTATGTTGTGCTTCTCAAGATGGGATGATTACCCAGGGCAAGAGCCTCACTTAAAGCAGATCTGCTGTTCCTGGACTCCATAGTTCCTTGCTCAGAGTTAGTTCAGGCTCTGCATCTTGATGCAGTGGAGACAAGGAAGCCCCTTCGGGTGAAAGAGAGATCGGGAAACCTTCAGATAACACACAGAGAGGATGTTACCGCCTATTACCTGCAGCTGAAGATATTCTACCTGACTTATCCAGGGCAAATAAGGCTTGTCAAGAGCAACACACTCATTGAACTGCTGTATTGGTCAGTCTGCATTGACAGTGTTGTGTTATGAGAGGTAATCAAAGTGCTGTTGGAGAACTAACATGTAACAGCTCCACTCAAGCTGATGGGAAAAGGAGGCCAAGCACTGACAAGCCAGCCTCATCCACAGCAAGCAAGGACAGGGACTGACATACAGCTTAAACAACGTATTAATTAACACAGTGAAGGAATGAAAAAAAGTTCAAAGGGTGAAGGAAGAAAGCTGTTTCCCTTATAATTTATGAACATCCAGAATGTGGTGCTCTTGCCCTTGATATCACCAGATAGATGGCATGGCAAAGTGGGGGTGCACCCTTTGTATCAGGATATTAGCTGGCTACACTATTTTGACAAAGGAGAGACAGCAGAATTTAAATAGAATTATGGGAGGAAGCACACCAATGTTGCCAGGGCTACCCTACCATGGCCCAGGTCAGGCTCTCAGCACAGAGCTGAGGTACAACTCAGCCCCAGGCAGCTCTGGGATTCCCTGGGCAGATCCCAGGACAAGCTCCAGCAACCCAGCTAATGACTTGTATGGGATTACTCTGCAAATGCTGGCTCACAGTAAATGACTGTGCTTTGTGGAAACCTTTCTGAACCAGCTGCAGATGTCCTCAGGAGCAAAAGTGCTTAGCAAGATCAGCAAGAACCTGGCACTAGAGGCTGCCTGTGAAAACAAGGCCCTAGCTAGCAGCACTAACCTTGAGAAAGAGCACGGTCCAGGAAGGAATATGGGGCCATCACCCCATTTTGATTTTCTTCAGCAGCTCTAAGAAGGGTGTACAGATGAACCATGGGTCTGATCTCCCTCTGGTCAATGGGAAAGCAACCTGCAGGAAATTCCCATTTCAGTGAACTCTGAGAAAAGAGGATCTCTCATCCTTCATGCCTGACTGCCTTCCTGTAGCAGTGTTTTCCTGGGTTAGCAAATATCACAAACCCCAACCTCTGCAGGCAGATGGCTTTTTGCCTTATAGCAGCCTGCTAATAGGAAAGCAGTGGGGGACAGATGCTCCTGCCTTCCCACGTTAAGCCAGGGCAGCAGCTCCGAGCTGGCAGCAGCACTTGCTCACATCGATGCCCAAAAGCCACGGATGGCAGCAGGAGCTGTGGGGTAAGCACCGACATCCAGGCACCATGCTCAGAGCCAGCTGGAGCCTGCTCAGAGGCGATGCTCCCAGGACCCTCTGTGCCCCTCCAGCAACCCAGGGCCTTCCAAGCACCAGCTGTACTTCGCACCCACGCGTGCTTCCGTGCTTTGGCTAACAGAACAAATACAAACCAGCAAGCAGCAGCAAACTTCTTCCTCTCGATAGCTGCCAAGGGAAAACGCTCTTCATTTCAGCCCCTCTGCTCCTAATGTGAGGGCTAAGAGTTAAGCTGGCAGCTGTCCTTGCTGGGCGGAAAGGAGCAGCAAGCAATCCTAATAGAGCTCCTGGCTGGTGGAGGAAGTGCAGATCTATTTAAAGGAGTCAGAGCCCTTTTCATCTGCCTTCTTCGAAAGGGAAAAAGCCTACATGAATATACCTAACCAGAGCTGGAGCTTTTAACCTCTAAGGAAAGCCCTATTCACCTCTTTCAGCCAATTGCCCAGCATGGCAAGAGCTGTTCCTCTCGAAATGGCAACGTTGACTCGTTGCTGTTTGAAGTCTTTCCTTTCACAGACAGCAAAGCCTCTCTGTTCCCATTTATCCCCAAAGGGCAAGCATGCAGTATGAGTGCAACTCACAGCACCCAGAAGTGCCTGTGGGACCCCTCCTCCTCCCTATAGAGAAAGGGGCTCAGTTCCCACTTCTGACAGCAGCATGTCAACTGGTAAATAGCTGCCCAGCTCTAACTTTGTCCTAAGGTAAGCCAAATTTCCAACATTCTGCAGCATTTCCCTGCAGAAACAGTCCTGGGGTGGGGTGATGGGAAAGCTGCTAGAGACAGAAATGGGGACCAACAGCTCCAGGGCTGCTAAGGGGGGGGGGGGATGTCCTCCAGCAGAGAGGAGAGCTCACAGCTGTCCTTGCAGTGAGTCAGGGCAGGAATACAGACAGGAGAAGTGCTTTAAAGCTGGGCAGCACGATGGCTGTGTACTTCTGCCTAAGCTGGTGAGAAAAGCAGCTTGTCAGAAGACAGAACAGGCATTTGTGTGACAGTTGCTTGCAAGGTTTTCTGCTGCTGTTGCTTCTGCTTTGGTTTTGTTTTGAAGTAATTGCTACACCTCTGGAAAACAACTGCCTCATCATAAGCCACGGTGATTTTCCCCTCAAGAAATCCTTGATGCTCACTGTTCTCGCCTTACAAACTGGGGAGGAATGTGGCACGGCACTGCCCTCTTTGGGTAAAACCACCCACTGATCTCCACCACGTGCAGTACAGCGTTATGCACAGCTTGTCCTTTTCTTGTGTCCTGCTGGACACGAGCAGCTCTGCACCCCCTTTGCAGCAGGGGTGGCCAGGAGATGCTCTCCTCCTCCAATCCCAACCCCAAACCCGCTGCCATCCAAAGCCACTGCCACACTGCTGCCACAAGGCTCTGCTCCCCAGCGGGTTGCTTGGTAAATTGCAGAGCTGCCTCCATTTTCCTCCTCTGTATGAAAAAGGCTTAGTAAAATGACTGCAAAAATATAGTGTAGGGAGAACATCCTGGAGCAGCACGGAAAAGAAGAACAGCAGGTGATGTGGTTACTGCAGATCTTACCTTCACATGACCACACAGACAAGGATGCATTAACAATGGTAGGCAACTGTAAATCCAGCACATCCTTATCTGGAAACACAGGATTTTCTCTAGATACCTGTGAAAATGAAAAAAAGAAAAACCAAGAAAAAAACACAGAAGAGATCACTGAAAGAATTCCCTCAGAACCTGATAAAAGTGCCCAGGGAAGAAGAAATCCATGCACATCCCACACATGAGCATGCAGCACATGGAGGAGGTGGCACTGCTGCAGCTGGCGCCTGGCTCTGCTGCACCATTCCCAAACCACCCAGCAGGAACAAGTGGGTTGGTAAAAGCAGCCATTCGGCAGCATCTCCTCTGGGCTAAAGGAAGAGGCAGGCATTCTCTCCAAACTGGGAGTTCAAGGGTGTAACACAGGATCTCTTTTCCAGCACTGTGCACAGTATGAGTGCATGCATCCACATCCATATAGGATGCAGAACAATGCCCCTGCAATTTCAGTCCAACTTCCAGGCAGATAATAATAGTCCAGCCATGTTCAGCTCTAGCCCCACTCCACAGCAGGTCTCGCCAAGCTTTACAAAGGGAGAACCACGTGCTTTCGAGCTGTGCTTGGATAGAGCCTATTTTTGGGCTCTTTGCTGGCACACCACTCTGCTGTAAGCGATCACCTCTGAGGTTAATTAGACAAAATGCTCCAGCAAGGTCTCAGGAGGAACAAGATTTCCTTTTCTCCACATTAAGCCCTTTTACCAACACTTCAATAGATGTTGACATCGCTCTGCCCCTGCCACGCTACCTATTGCACTGCTGATGATAACAGCAGCTCCATTGCTGGGGATTAGGGGCAAGCAAACAACACAGAAAGCAATAAGAGCAGAACAAGTTTAGAAATTGTCGGCTACAGCAGCAGCCCTGGAAGACCCAACTGTGTTTGTCCCTACTGCAATCAACCCAGCACAGCCAGCTCAGTGCTCACAGCTCTGTGAGTTCCACCAGGGCTGGGGGTGGCTGGGAGCTCCAGGAGCGCAGTGAGGAAAGGACAGCACTCTCACTTTAACACAACACGACCAGCCGCTCGCAAAAACAGCTTGGCTTCCCCGTCCCTGAACCTTGCAGGTGTTTGTTTAACAGCCTGCATAAATTGAGGCTAATCGCAGCTCCGCCAGCTGCCGAGGAGCCCAGCAGCCTGGAGGACGCGGCCCCGTTATCTCAGTGCAAGCTGAGCGAGCTGCTCCCGAGGGGACGGCTAATCTGCGCAGCCCTAACGGAGCAGCCGGCCTCTCAGCCTCAGCAGGGGGAAGCGGAGGATGGAGGCTGAATGGGATTAGTGCCGAGATGGAGGGCTGAGGAGCTGCTCACTGCTGCTGCCAGGCTCCGCTGTCCCCTTTGCGCTAAGGGCTGGGCTGGAGGCCACAGCCGGCCTCTCTAGGTCTGCTATGTACATAAAGGCATGAATAATAGATCTAACAAGCCAACAAAAGCACTTTATCTAAAGCACGCTTCTGTCAGAAAGCCAGGCTTCTCCAGCACGTGGGATGGTTTCCAGACAGTGCCTTTTCCTAACAGCATGGGGGTTTTCCTGGCTTTGCTGCACCCTCCCTGACTTCATTCACAGGGAGCAAGCACAGGGCAAGGCTTGGCCACAGCAGACCTCCTGAACACCTTCAGCTCACCTCAGAGACCTGGCAGCATCCCCTGAGCCAGCTCCATGTGCCACCTGCAGCCCCAACAGAACCCGCACATGGAGGGCACAGCCACCTGCATGCCGTGGGGAAGAGATGGTTGGCTTCCCTTCCTGTTAAACGAGGATCAAGGGCACTTCCTTACAGCCTGAAGCAGGGATCATCTGTATCAGTGAAATCTGCTGCCCCATCCATCCATATGTCCAGCAGCAGAAAGGCTGGAGTAAGGGCCTTGTGCTCTTGTGCAGCTCCCCAGCAGTGTGGCAGTGTTCCTGCTGCCAGCAAGCCTGTGTTCCCTGAGGGCTGCCAGGGTTACAGTGCTGTGCAGTGACTGCAGTGACTCTCTAAGGCTTGGGCTGTCCCCTCCCTATTTGCTTTATGGAAATGCTTAATAAGATCTTGACACAAGCAGAGGAAATTGCATTCCTTTATCTTGGCAGTGCATGGCCCAGGCTAAGGCAGGAAGAAGAACGCAAGCAACACCCAGACTACAATTCTCTACAATTCTCCTCTGACAGTGGAGGTCAGCATCAAAAAACCCAGCAGCTCCTTTGCCCCTCAGCTCTCTGTCTCATTTGCATTTCAATTTCTGGAGTTGCCAAGCTCAACTGCTGAACATCAGCCCCGCAAAGGCCAGGCAATGCTCTGGGCGGGATTCTTGCTCCACAGAGCAGCCACAGAGAGAAGTCATTCCTCTCAATCCATGGTCCCCATGTCACGAGGCACCACCAGATGCACCAGGAGGAGTTCCAGCTCAGGGAGGGAAGGCAGGAGTCCTCGGGGAGCAATCTGGCATGCCCAGCCTGGGCACAAGCAGGTCATGGTTCTCTATCAACACCTGGACCAGAGCAATGCCTCCTCTCACCCATTCAAGAGGAAGCGATAGGCAGGCAGCAATCCAAATTCAGTTTTTAGGCACTTGGAAAAGCCAGGGCTCCCACCCACCCACACAGCTCCCTCCCCAGCTGCCAGCAAGCTCCCAGAAATTAGACTGAATCTCCCCACAGAACAGAGTTCTCTGCAGCATCAGATCAAGGCCCCTGCAAGGGCCTGGGTAACAAATGGCCCAGCAGCACAGCAGATGGCCAAGAAATCCAGCCTGAACACCCACCCGTTCCTGGGAGCGCTGAATGCTGCCCGTGCCTACAGACAGGCATGATAGATCAAACCCAACTGGAGGCAATGGTGAAATCCATTGTTTAGAACTGCTTTATTAGCAGACTGGGCTGGGTATGAGAGACCATAGAAGGCCAGCGCTGCGTGAAAGGTTGCAGCAGCTGTTCCAGCCTGACCAAGGCAAGGATCTTATCACAGGTCCTGTGCAGACTCACCCTGCAAAAGGAACAGCAGCAGCTCCACTGTGCCCTTTCCAAGCTGTCCTTGGGAAGCATAAGGTGCGGCTAAAGCTTTGATACTGGATGAGAGACTTTTTTTGGCCACCGATCAGTCTCTGATTTCTTTCCCTAAAGAGCCATCTGGGACATTCTTCTGAAGATGCAGCTAGTCTAGAAGGCAAGAGACAGTCCGTCAGTAGTGCGGGAAACAGCAGAAGCAAGCAGGCTGTCAGAGCAAGGAGTGCTTCTTCATCCACAAATGCAGGAAGCTGCTCTCCTCTTTTCACCACTTCCCAACCTCAGCAGACTTGGGCTGTCAGAAATGAGATAAAATAGGACAGGGGATCGCAGCAGTTGAAATCTCTCCTGTGTTTGTCTGGATACCCTCCAAGAACTCATCCAAGACACTGACAGCTGAGGATTACAGTGTGAGCAGGGACAGCTCTGCTGCACAGCCCACCTCACCCTAGAGGAGCTGGCATCTCAAAGGTAGATGGAACAGCGTGCTTCGAAGGAATTGGACACAGAGCTCAGCATGTCAAAGCTTCAGTACAGCATCTCTGCAGCTCAGAGCAATAGCTCCTGCCAGAGGAAAAAAAATAGCCATGAGCCATCATGCTGTAAAGATGCCATCCCCTCTGCTGGCAGCTCGAAGGACAAGCACGTACTGCCTCATTCTCTTCTGGCCCCATTGATTTTCTGCAGCTCTGTCTCCAGGAGCACACACACTGCAGTTTGTTCGGCCTTGCAGGAATGCTGGGGCAGGATGAGGATGCCTACAGATCATGCTGGGGGCAGAAATAACAAAGGGTATCACAGGACAGACAAAAGAGGGAACAGGCACAGCCAGGCTCATTCCCACACCCCAGGACAAGAACTGCTTTGGGCAAAAGCAGAAGTGCCCAGGTCAGAATCAGCTCCTAGGTAAGCTCCTCATGTTCCCACCCAGGAGCCAGCACTGCCCACCTGGGAGCCACCTTCACGTGCTCCCAGCTGTATCAAATCCAAGGCTGGAAAGCAAACCATGACAATTATCAGCGCTCGCTGCTGTGAATGGGAATGTTCTGTAAACAAATTACATCTTGGAAATTAATACATGTAGCCTTAATTGAGGTTTAGCATCTTAAATTTGACTAAAAAATAAAAATTTTTACAAGTTAACAAAAAGAAAAGAGAGAAAAGGCAACGAGCTGGCTGCAGAGCCCTGGTGCAGAGCTAACAGTAGGCACAGCACCTGAGCAGACTCAGCCTTGCCTGTCTCAGGTTGCTCTGCTCCAAAATGAGGATTTGTACATCCCAGGGTCAGACTAATTTCTCCTGCCAGCACAGCAGCAGTATTGTAAATGACTTTTAAATATCAAACCCACACTTGAGTGCATCTAAGTCAAAGCACAACACGCATCAGGGATGATAAAAAAAAATCAGATAGCGTTAGCAGAGCCTGGGCCTCAGCACATCAGCTTGAGATGGCATTCAGCATTTGCAGTGGATGAAGCTCAGCATTCCTCACCTCCAGACAGCTGCCAGCTCTCCAGAGTGCCTCACTGCCCCCGTGAGAAGCAGCTACAAGCTGAACCCCTGGGATTTTGCAGAGCCTGTGCTGTGCAACTCTGGGAGCTCACCCTGCAGCTGAAGTCCCGTGGCATGCTGCAGATCACGTTCCCAGCAGACTCTTCTGCCACTGCACTGGCAGCTCATCCCAGCTCTAGGCTCTCTCCTGCCAAGCCTGTGCTCCATCCAGCCCCCATACAATCTGTCCCCATGGAGGGAGCAGTGCGTTGTCCAGAGCTTTTCCTTGCCTGGAACAAGCATGGACTCATGCCCAACGAGAAGCAAGTCTGGCTGCACGATGGTGGTATTTCCATCTTCTCCAGGCTACCCTCAGACATGCTGGGTATCCAAGTGACTCCACCTCCCAGCCTGTTAGCAGGAGACTGGGAACAAGAGCAGCTTCCACACCTCCAGCCTGCTGCAGCTTTAGTCCCTGGCTCTCACCCTCCACCATGCAGCACAGACACATGGACAGATACTGACAGCAGCACACAAACAGCATTGCTGTGGAGTCCCAGCTCCCCTCACCTGTATCTTGAGGGTTAAATCGATAATCCTCCCTTCCTCTACCCACATCATTAACATATCCAGGTAAGTAGGAAAGCACAGCCCCCTGACACAAAGTGTTGTTTTTTCTCTTTGCTAACTCCTGGGGGGACTGGTGTGTAGAAACCTTTAATGAATTTGACATAACTCCTAGCACAGAACAGCTCTACTATTTGATACAAGGTTTAATTTGATTTCTCACTTGAATAGCTGAGACATTCTTGATATGCTTCCTTCAGCCTCCCCCCAGACAGCTCTGCTGCATACAATTAGTGCTAAGAGTCACCTGCATTTCAGCATCCCTCCTCCTTTGCTCCACTCTGCTCCTGCTGCTAACATCCCTCCCCATCCAGCTGAGCATCTCCATCTCTGGTCTTTGGAAAGGGTTTTCCACGTCACTCCTTTAAGCAGTGGGAAACTGAGATTGACCAGTGGCAGCAGTTGGAGCCCAGGCGATGTGACAGTCCCAGCTTAGGTCACACCAGTCATCCCTGCAGGACAGCAGCCCTGGGAGGTAGGAATCCTTTCTACTTTCAGCTCCTGTATTTCTCCACAGAAGCAGCTCCATTTCAGCAAGGCTTGCATCGTCTACACTGCAACCTCCAGAACAACAAAGCCACAGCGTTCTGGAAACAAGGAACACACACAGCTCCTATGAAAATGAGAAGTGCGGATGGAAATTTGGTGGAATTTTGTTCATTTTAATGTCTACAGGTTTGTCTGGCGTCTGTTCATAGGTTAGGCTGCAACTTCAGCCTTCAGACCACACACCCACTGACCCAGGTTCACCATCAGGACAAAAGGACCCACAGCTTTCCAGGAACCAGCAGAGCAACAGAGCCCCACACCATGGCCAGACACAGGTAAAGGTCTCCCCTGAGACACGACAGACACTGTGACCCAGGCTTCTGCCTGGCTCAACCCCCTCTGTGAGCCAGCACTAATAATGCTGGCTTGATTGAACCTGTTCACTTCCCCAGTCTCCGAAGCACAACAGTCAATTTCAAAATCTTAAAGCAAACCGTTAGGGAGCAAAGATGTATTTGCAGGCATTAAAGCCACAGACCAAGGAGCAAACAGACACCTTTGATTGAGAAATCAATGCCTGGGTTTTACAGCATTTCACACTAAGCAGCAGCAGAGTCCTGCAGACGTCTCATCCCTTCAGGGCAAGGCAGGAGAAACTAGCAGAAGGGGAAGTGAGAATGTGATGCTTCCAGAAGTCTTAGCAAAGCTGGACCACCCTTGTGGACCCTGAGGCCATGGGGTAAGACATATTTTCAAGAGATTCCTCAGATCAAACTGATGGGAAAAGAGTCCGTTTCATACCTCTTTCAGAAAGGTGCTTTACTCAAGTATTCCCTTGCACCTGGCCTGCCCTGGGTACAGCTCCAACACAGCAGGCTGAGGTCATCAGGGGCAATCCCACCCAACACAGCACAGCACCCGTCTGTCAAGCAGCCCTGGATGCAAGAGGTTGGCCTGGAATAGCAAAAAAGAAACCCAGACTCCATTGATCAAGATGCCAGAGGGAAGGAGCAAGTCCTGAAGGGAGGAGGAGGAACAGCCCCTGCACCCAACAGCGGCGTTATGAGCAAGAGA